GTGTATATATATATATACACACACACACACACACACACACACACACACGCTTAGCGGAGTGCAAGCCCGATTAACCATAACGGAGCCAATCCGGTGATTTTTAAACATTTTATTGTTAGAATTATAAACCAGAATGACACCTTAGACGACCTGTTAAGGGCTATACTTCTGGATCGTTTTGTTGGCTAGTGTCACTTGTGTCTTCTTTCTTCAGATTAGGAAGCAAAAAACAAACAAACAAACAAAAAATAAAAATAAAACCCGGTGTGAATTCTGGTTTTAAGAGAATCCGTATCTTTTCAAGACAGAATCTCAAACGGGATTATTTCCGCAGTGTTTTTGCAAGACAGAAACACCGGATTTGATCTATTCTAGACACAGACAAACAGACGATCAAGAGGGATGGTTAAGCACAGGCGACCTGGAAGGGATGTGGATTTATTTCTTTTTCCTCCCAAGGCGTTTACACTCTGTGTTTGTAGATAACTACACACACCAAAGCAGAGGCTACACACACCACTACACTAAGATAACTACACACACCAAAGCAGAAACTGGAACAGATCATCCCAAACCTACAAGACAGTGATGCCTTTATCGACATTGGATGGGCCCCATAAAGTGATCTCTGTCTGGTGGATTTGGGATTATGCTGTCTTTTAGTCTAGGGCCAGCACGGCTTCCCCTGGTTCTGTTTCCTAGAACAGATGTGTGTGTGTGTGTGTGTGTGTGTGTGTGTGTGTGTGTGTATAACCCAAATAACAAGCGCAGGGAGCTAAACTCCTTTGCTTCCCTTTTGCAGGAAGAATATATATGTATGTATATGTGTATATATATATATATGTGTGTGTGTGTGTGTGTGTGTGTGTGTATATTTCTTCCTGCAAAAGGGAAGCAAAGGAGTTTAGCTCCCTGCGCTTGTTATTTAGGTTTTATATATATATATATATATATATATATATATATATATATATTCTTCCTGCAAAATGGAAGGAAAGGAGTTTAGCTCCCTGCGCTTGTTATTTGGAATTGGTTTATTCCAAGATGTTCCTGGGTTTGGGGGATGTTGTCATTGTGATCCTAAAGGCGTTTTTATGTTTTCTCTGTTCCCTTTTTGGTCTCTTTGGGGGGGAAAATTCTACCCCTTCTAATCTCTAGGCATTATTATTATTATTATTATTATTAATCAATCCCTTTTTGCCCTCAAAGTTGGACCTCAATTGGTTTATTCCTGGGTGTTTGGAGAAGGGAGACTCAGTATATCTAGACACACACACACACCAATGGTTAAGCAAAGGCAAAGTGGAATCGATGTGTGTGTATTTTCCCCTACTAGGTGGAAGCCAAGGTGTTCACTCCCTGTGTTTGATGATGATGATGATGAATTTATACCCCGCTTTCCCTCCCAAAAGTTGGAACTCAAAATTGGTTTATTCCTAGATGTTCCTGGAAGTAGGGAAGGGACACGCAGTGGTTGCTGTCATGCTGATCCTAAAGGCGTTTTTGTGTTTTCTGTTTCCTTTTTGGCCTTTAAAAAACAACAACACCCAAATCCCTAGCCATTATTATTATTATTATATTAATTTATATCCTGCCTCCCCACCCCCCAAAAAAGTAGGAACTCAAAGCGAACTGGAATAGATGTGTATTTTTTCCTCTGCTAGGTGGAAGCCAAGGTGTTTACCTTCTGCGTTGTTGTTGTTGTTGCTGTTGTTGTTCTTATTATATTAATTTATATCCCGCTCCCCCCTAAAAAAAGTTGGATCTCTAAAGAAAAGTTGGATCTCAAAGCGGATTAGTTTATTCCTGGGTTTTCCTGGGAGTCGTTGTCTTTGTAATGCTAAAGGTGTTTCTTTGTGTGTTTTTGTTTTCTTTCTTTCTTTCTTTCTTTTTGCCTTTTCAAATCTTTCCTCATCCCTAGGCAATATTATTATTATACTAATGTATATCACGCTTTTATTCCCACCCCCCAAAAGTTAGACCTCAAAGCGGATTAGTTTATACAATGTTGTCATTGTGATACTAGAAGCGTTTTTGTCTTTTATGTTTCTTTTTCCTTTTTCCTTTTTAAAATTGCTCCCCTGCCCGAAATCCCCAGACAATATTTTACTAATTTATAATCGGCTTTTATTCCCCCCCCCCCACAAAAAAAGGTGGACCTCAAAGGGAATTGGTTTATTCCTGGGTATTTCTGGGAGTGGGGAAGGGGCACGCAGCAGTCGTTGTCCTTGGTCCCAAACACCTTGCAGAAATAATCCAGTTTGAGATCGCTGTAACTGTCCTAGGGGATTGTGGGAACTGTAGTTTTGGGATAGAATTCAGAAACACAGCCGCGTTAGTCTGTCGAATTAGTATGAAGGGAGATGTAGAAAGCAGTCAACTTCTTTCTTTCAGTTAGGTCCAAACCACACTGCAGAAATCATCCAGTTTGAGACCGCTTTAACTCCCCTGGCTCAATGCTGGGGAATTCTGGGAACTGTAGTTTTGCGGAGACATTTAGCCACCTCTGTCAGAGAGCTCTGGTGCCAAAAGAAACCACAGGCCTGAGGATTCCCTAGCACTCTGAGTCAGGGCAGTTAAAGCGGTTTCAAACCGGATTATTTCTGCAATGTGTCTTTTAGCCCTCCCTGAAAGAAAGAAAGGAAGGAAGGAAGGAAGGAAGGAAGGAAGGAAGGAAGGAAAGAAGGAAGTTGGCAGCTTGAGCTTTCCGAGACTAAAGTCTACTTCCTCAGATGCGTTTGGTTTTGTAAGATGCATTGTACTAAAGAGACCACGAATAAGAGTTTGCAGGAGCTGGGCAGAGCAATAGAGGACCCTTCCAGAGGTTCACAACAACAACAACAACAACAACAAATTGTATTGAAACAAATACCCACCAAACAGTGATGCCTTTAATGGGCAACCGAAAAGCACAATATCTTTGTTGCAATTCGGTTGGCCAATAAAGATATCGCTATTTGGTGGGTTTTTGTTTGAATTTGCTATAAATGGCCCAGACAGCTACCTCTGGATGTTTGTTAACAAATTGTATTATTATTATTATCATTATCATTATCATCATCATATTTATTATGCCTTTATTAAGTATATATTATTATTAATATTATGTTTATGTTTATGATGTTTATTATGTCTATATTATTATGTTCATGTTTATCTTATTATGCTTATTATGTCTATATTATTATTATATGTTTGCTTAAGTTTATGTTTATTGTCTATAATTTTATGATTATGTTTATTAGTTGATTATTATGCTTTTATTATTATAATATGTTTAAGTTTATGTTCATTATGTCTATAACTTTATTATTATGTTTATTACTATTATAATATGTTTGTTTAAGTTTATGTTTATGATGTCTATAATTTTATGATTATGTTTAGTAATTGTTTATTATTATTATTATTATTATTATTATTATTATTATTATATCTATTCATACCCCTCCTTTCTCGCAGTCCAGGGGCTCAAGGCGGCTATAGTCGCCTGTTGTAGCACTTTGTGGGGCGGGGTATCAAATAAAAATTATTATTATTATTATTATTATTATTATTATTGTCAGATACATTGAAGTTTTGTGAGCCCTCCAGCCTCCTCTGTCAGAGAGCATTGCGATGCTAATGTCTTCTTTCTTTCTTTCTTTCTTTCTTTCTTTCTTTCTTTCTTTC